AGCCTGAGAAAACTCCCTTAGAGCGACTTGCTGAACTTTTCAATTCCATGTCATGGTAGTTGAGACATCAGATTTCACATGACTGGCTTGCCACTTGCTTAACATGAAGCGTAAAAAACTCTGATGGTTCTACTGCATGCTAGAAGAGTTGTGAGATATCATTGCCTGACTATAACAATTTCAGAATTATTTTAAAAACTCCCAACAAAACTAATTTTAAATTGAAGAAATACTCTCATCACTGATAAAAGACATAAATATTTAGGTAACTACAGAGTCACCTGCTATAGCTAGCACTATAATTTCATGGTCATTATGTGTCATTTATATAAGTGACTCCAATTTCTAAAATACGTTTTGTTTTTAAATATATAGGGTTTCTATTTTTAAATACATCGCATTAGTGGAGATAGTTTAGTAACATAATGAAAAACTGGCATCTGGGTTTGCTACGCCTGAAATTGCTTAAGAGACCTTACTATATTTTTATTTAAACACTTGGAACAGTGCAGGCATAATTCAGGGAGATTATACCACTAGTAAGAGTACAACCTATCTATACATATCTCTGGCGAACATTAAATAATTATAAAGTAAACATTCACAGCTAATTTCTTCACATAAGCCTATTCTAAACTCCACATAAGCCTATTCTAAACTCCACATTTGAGGAAAATGTATATTCCACGTTAACACATTCAGGTCAATCAGCCACTCATGACTTCATGCAACCTTCAATAGTTTTCATGTTAAGCTTTCTTTAGAAAAAGTATAAATCACTTTGTCCCAAGACAGACTTCACCCCACACTGGATAACATACACTAAGAAAATAAAGCCCATCTCCCAAATAAAGTGCTTTAGAGTTTTGACTAAACATCTCAACTTCAGCATCTCAAAATTGAACTGACTGTTCTCAATATGACCCAACAAACCTGGCAATGATTGAGGCACGCTGTACTGGTTGGCATCTGAAGAGACTCCTGCCTGCCTCTTTGTCTTCTTCCTTGTAGAGACACTTCCCAACATATCTTACTTAAATTTCTTTTATTTGTCTAAGAGCACAAATTCAATGACTCGACTGGCACTTCTCTGCTTTTTGTACAGAAAGTACATAATGATCTCTCCACAGTTTAAGGGCTAATGTCATATTTTAATTCCAATGCTTTTACTTAAAAAAACCATTTTATTGTATTTAATGCTTTTTACTACTACAGCTTTTTTTCATATTGGAACTGGTCAAATATGCTAATGTTCTACTCTTTTCTGCTTCCTGCTTTCCAAGTAATATAGTTCCTAAACCTCAGTTTCCTTTTGGCTTGCACAGACAACTTTTAACAAAAAAATAAAGCACAAAACTGATAATAAATATTCAAGACAATTTCATAATCAAAGTCATAAAGGTGCTTGCATTACATTAAATTTTATCACGTAATGCTTGATGAATGTTACAAAAGCTATTTATCAGACAAATGTGAAAGATTATTGACTTTCTGAATTAAGATCACCTTTGTGGTCTGATATTCTAGCACACCAAACGTCATCAAATGTTGGTCCAAAGCTATAACTCTTTGATACCATCACATAGAAAAAAAGAAAGCAAGGAAAAAAAAAAAAAAAGAACAGTTGACAATTTTGTGTTCTCAATTAGGAAGTTGGTGAAATGAGGTTGAAGCAGGAAGAGATATGACTTGCAAATCTATTGTTGATTATGGGTCATCTGAGATACTTAATTCTACTCCTTTCTATAGAAATAGAGATGTAGCTAGACAGAATATTTACTTAGTGCTTCAATTGTTGTAAAAGAAAAAAATGAGCAAAGCTGTCATATTTAAGCAGAATTTCTTAAAGGTGCATTTTTTTGTTTAAAGGGAACTCAAATTACTACTCGGAAGACACAGTATTTTCCTTTTCTTCCCTCCTCTTCTTCAAGGCTCTAATAATCCTGATTTTAAATAAAATCCTTTGTTGAATGAGCTTAAGAAAATAACGCAATAAATCAGACATTTATTTATCATTTATGCTACTATGCTACCATAATTCTTTATTTCTCCAATCTGGGCATCTGTTAAGTTGCTAGTACCCGAAAAAGGCGAGGTATTAAAACTGCTCATCTCAATTTTCTCCCTGTATACGCAAAAATATATAGAAAGGAATTTGTTTCACTGTAGTAGTTACGAGCTGTCACACACAGAGACATGAAGAATTAATCAGACTCTCGCTTAAAAGACTGAATAAAGATTTATCACAGTGGCACAGAAGCAATTTCTGATACTGTTCCTTTTTTAACCAAGCAGCTCCACTTAGCAAAAGTTTAAACCAAAAATACAAGGGAAATGAAAAAAAATTAAAAATTCCAACTAGTACATATAATGAGATAGAACAACAAGGCAGACTAAAGGAGGCAGGGAAATATTTATAATTTGATTTTTCATTTCACACTGGAAGTTGAATCTGGAGAATAAGTTTCTGAGTAAGTCTGAAGAGGTAGCTTAAAAAACAGTTTAGCACACCAAAAAAAGATCATAACTATGAAACTTTAATTGTAATTTGTACATTGGTTTGAAATAATTAGTTCAATAAGCAATGAACATTTATCACATAACTGCCTATTAAAAATAAGGAAAAAGATTCTCTCAAGATCACCTGATGATAGACTCTTTCCAGTTACTACCAACCTTTAACATTGTGCTTTTTCCTGTTTTAAGGAGTAGAGTACACTCCAAATATTCAGCATAAAATTACTTTAGACAACATTAACATAGCACGGCTTTGAAATGAAATGCCCTAAAAGATTTAAGAAATTTAACAAAAAAAAAGCATGGCTTGATTCAATCTGCATGTTTTGGTCAGCGATGGCCACAGAGTGTAAAATTTACATGTTAAGTGTTAAAAAAAATATATATACATGATCCTGAGACTATAACCACAATTTCCCTCAAACGTGCTATTTCTGGCAAACAGAAGTGAGAGGAGGCTCCTGTTCTGCTCATCAGTTAATGCAGTTTGTCTGGTAGGAAATAGGTTTGACTTTACTAACAAAATAGTTGGTGCCATCATTCTAGATGGCATTTAATCTCATGTTTTCCTAACTTAGATTTTCAGCTAGGAGAGGGATTCATGTTCTCTGTCAGTATTTTGTAAGTAACGTGGGACAAAGACAACCAATAATTGAAAGCAGTAATTTTGAGGTTTAGTTAAGAGTCAAGTAAAAGAAGTGGGACACTAAAAACTTTTCACCAGGAGTACTACATGTAGTACCATTAAAGCCTCTGGTGATACAAGCAAATAACAAAACAATTCCAACTAAAATAAAATCTCTATAGTTTTCAAGCTGTGCTAGTAACTCATCTATTGTGACTCCTTATCAGAACAGGAGCATACAGATTTATTTCAACACAGAATGACACAAACGTCTCAGACAAGTCATCAGTATTTCAGTATGGCTTTCTTATAATGACTAAGCAATGACACAATGACAGTACAATGGCAGTGTAGGCAGAAGGACTAATATCAAGTTGAATATAATGTCCTTGTATATTGCTGACATGGTACCTGCTTAAGAGCAAACCGGAATATATAAAATGAATGAATAAATAAATAAATAAAACTACACTCAGTATGCACCAGGCATCACAACTCAAGATGAGACAGAACTTCATCTCATATACAGACAGTTGTCTGTGTATAACCAGAATCCACAGAAATATATTTTACTAGGTTTTGAACCAAATAATTCTAGAAGCAGTCAAACCAGTGGTCTAAGTACTGACATGTCACTGTGATCTATAGTGAATACTCTTCTGAGGAAAATGGACAATGCTCACAAGAAAAAGCTCCTTCCTTGTACACTTCACAAATTACCATTCAAATCTTAAGTCATTCAAATTACCATTCAAATCTTAAAACATTTTTCTGGAAACTTCCTCCTAAATCTCTGAATGTACAGAAGTTATTTTATTTCTTATGTACTAGAGTGCAGGAGACTGTAAAACCCTCGCTCCTTTCTTATTATGAAACCTGTATCATCTAGTGTGTTCAGTTCTTTCTGAATGTGAGACTTTTACTTCAATATGATTCTTTAGAACCTTGCACCTTCAAAATTTACTCAGATCATGAAACAGCATGAAAGGCACTTGTATGTAATTTACAGATTATCTCTGTCACAGTACTGTTTCTTTTCTAAAGGTCACAATTTTTTCAGCGTCATTTCAGGCAAGAATATTTCCATACTCATCATACTTTGTTTCCCATGTCCTGAACTTCAGAGGTGGCAATGGTACTTTTCCTGCAAACTGTGAAACTACAGTCTGACTCATCATCTCCTTTGTCCTTACCCTGTTTTTCTCTGCTTGAAGAATTACTCTGAAGTGATGACATCCTAAACCAGGGGATCAGTTCCATTCACACTTGGCAAAACTTTGCTTAGTGAAAGAGGGAGGAAGGAAAGGCAGACTGTTAAAAGGAGACTGGAGTAGATTTAATCATTAGATAAGTGGGTTTTTCTGTACTGACAAGCCCTTAAGATTTAAAGTGGATATGGTTACCATGGAGCCAAGACTCCCACAGAAAAAAAAAATCACAGCATTTTGAAACATTTGTTGGAAGCACACAGGCAGCCAAATAAATGACACTGCACCACTTTCAGGCTTTATTAGGTCACTTAAATTCTACCTGCAAATGGAAGCTGAGGGGAGAGATTTATACAAGCTTTTACCAAATATTTCAGCCATAGGCTTCCTAATTTAGAAAACTTTGCCTGAGAACTACAGGTAAGTTCCTGGTGGAATGCAAGACTTCATCATATATTAATATAACTAATTATTAAAAACAATGGTTCCAAGTAAACTGAGCGGCATGTTTAACTATGAACGTAAATACAAAAACTAAAAACCAAACAAACAAAAAAAAGAATTATGACTTCAATCTCTTACCTTGTCTGTTAGGAATTGCATTTCTACTGTTGAATTAGGTAATATAAATGGCATCCTATGCCTGAAAGAATTACAGCTATAAAAGTTACACCAGATCAGTATCAGTCACAGCTGACAACGTTGAAAGTTTTTTAAATGCAGCAGATCAGTTCAATGTCATGGGCATAGTCAGGCTGTGCTGCAAGACCTTAAAATCCCAGCTATGCTTGAAAAATTGCACTGGCATCTGAAAACTCACAGATTATTACCAATGTAATGACCTGCAAGAAGCAGCTTATGTGTTCACCCTCCATTGTTTGGAGATGACCAAGGTGTCTATGGAGTTTCTAGACTCCTCCATCAACATTATTGAGAAGGATGAGCTCAATGTGAAACAAGATGTCATGGTCAAGGCTATTCTGAAACAGATTGCTCATGACCCACAGAACAGGAGGCAGCACACTGCAGTCTTGCAGGGCAAGGTCAGTGCTGTCACGGTGTGGGCCCAGGCAGCTCTGCAGAGCTGGGTGTGGGGCAGCTGAGCCAGAGCAGCTTTACTTTTCTTGTAAGACTAGAGGAAATTGCAGCCTGCTGACACTGCTCACAAAGAACTGAGCTTTTAGAGCTTTAGGCTATTGTTGCACCAGGGCATAGGTCAAAGATCCTGCGCTGCAGTTGGGGCAGACCTTTTAAGCGCGCGTTTAGAGCTTAAGTTGAACTACTCCTCACATCCAGGAAGAGCCAAAGTTCACATGGGATGACGTTATCTCTAAATACACAAAGTTTATGAGCCTTTGCCTAGAGAAGTTAGACTATGCAAATAGCAGCAGGAGTTAAGGCAGTTTGAGTCTGCACACAGGAAAGTGCCATGCCAAAGCAGTGGCAGGATCCCTGCGATAAAATAGCAATGTGAAAAATGGGATGCAAACCCCTTTCCAGACTAGTTAAAAGCTACACATTTGATTCTCTGGTTCTCTAATAAGCTTTAGACAACACTACAGGCTTAAAGCAAAGCCATCCAGTGTTAGCACTACCCATTAAACCTTCTGCATTAATATTCTAACCTCCTCTTCGTATTTTTCAAGTTCAGCTGGCACTGATCCAAGCAGAATACTTCACGACCAATGTCAAAGCGCATGACTATGTGAAGGACAATAAGGAGTGCAAAGCTCTCATCATAAACATGCCGACAGAAATGTACAACCTAAATATGCACAGCCCATCTTATTCTGATTTCGCCAGCCCACTCAGTCAGCCTCGCCTGCACTATGCCATCTTGTTTGCTATCAGAGGGTGCAGCAAGGGAACCCTCAACCAATGCCATTAAGACATATACTGCCAATGCAGAGCAGTGAGCAAATGCCACACGTGAGGAAGAAAGCCCCCTTGCCTGTCACAACCTTCCTTATTTAGAAGTCTTTGTCTACATTATCAGAGGATTTGACAGTGTGAATTATTTCATCAGCATCCAGCGGCGTGACACACTTAAGAAAACATGGCAGCATCGCTCTTAACTTCATCTATGCCATGGAAGGGTTTGACAGATACATGTGCTCAACACAGCAGTGGTAGAAGCCAGAGACGAACCAGTGGACACCGACCGGCCCCACGCATGAGCAGAGAAGCAATGCTAGAGCAACCACACCGCATGAAAAGGTAAACAGACCCTGAGATTATTCAAAGCAGCTAATGTTGAAGTATGGTGAGCGGGACAAGGAACCAAACAAACATCAGTGCACAGTATTACACAGCAAGCAAATGCCTGTCCTTTCCTAAGCATGCATGGGGGTAGGGACTCAGCCTCTTACTGGGCTACATATCTGATAAACATGGCTACCACTCAGTATTTGACATCCACATAGAAAAGAGAGCTGTGGGAGCAAGAAAGGTAACAGATGCTCCCTTTAGCATGATGAATCATTTAAAATAAAGAGGAAGAAAGCTCAGGTAAACGTTATTGATTAAATCCTGGAGTTACAGATATAAAGCTCTGTAAGAGACAGAAACTGACTGGTGTGACGGGAGATGCAGACAGAAGTGCCAAAACTCTTCCAGACATGTGTACCACCAATAGCCCATTTGCTCCTGCACTGTACTCTTCCCGGCCTCAAGTGAAAGTGCCTGCCTCATACAGTTCAGGGAATAAAAGGTCTCAATCCTGCTGGCTTGAATAACTCACTGCACTTATAATACTTCAAACCCAGAATGACAGGACCATTAAATAACCAAAAACAGACCTTTCCCTTCCCGCTCCCCCCTCCCAATAAATAACCAAGCAACACAATTGATTTTCTCTTCAATGTATTCTCCCACCAAAAGCATAACTGCCCTGCTCACACAGGGTCAGTCTCTTCTCCCAAGTGATAGGACTAGAGGAAACAGCCTCAGGTTGCACCAGGTAAGGTTTAGATTGGATATTAGGGTAATTTTTTTTTCTGAAAGAGTTGTGAAGCACTGGAACAGGCTGCCCAAGGAAGTGCATGAGTCACCATCCCTGGAAGTGTTTAAAAGAAGTGTAGGCATGATTAGTGGCAGACTTGGCAGTGTTGTTTAAAACTGAAGTCAATGTTCTTAAGGGTCCTTTCCAACCTAAACAATTCTGTGACTCTTCCCCATGATTCTATAAGGAGCAAGGATATCCCCAGAATTACTTCCTTCTGAATTGATTTCCTTCAAAATTAAAACATGATACTGAAGAGTAATATAACCATACAAAAAGCAGCTTGAAGCTCCTCTTTAACTGATGCCAATATACAGACTAGTGACTACTTGAGTACCTGACATTTCACTAATTTCTCTAAAACATTACAAACTGACTACACTGACAGAAGACCACACATCTAACTCACTGAGAATCTGCAAAACACACTGTCTGACTAGAATCTTGCCAGAAAAATATCTTATCATAATTTGGGTTACCAAACAGGCCAGGGACCATTCCCAAAAGACAGTACAGATAAGGTCACCCTGTGGAATTAGTGAAGCTGCATGCACGTAAACTGTGCACTTCCTCTTCACTTCAAGGCTAGAGAATTCACTGTTGCTACTCTATTTACAGTCAGAGACTTTATAGCCTTCAGAACAGGGTTAAAGCAGGTTGTACCTTTTAGGTTGGTCTCTATGTTGAATTTACATTTTTCAAAATATATCAGTATGAGCTTGCTATGACAGGTGAGCAAGTCCTGGCAAAGGTAATAGTAAATACTATGTCACTGTTCAAGAAGCGGTTGTCACCTACATCACCTACTCAGGCCGCAGGACTATATACAAATAGATACAAAATTGTGAGGAACCTAAAGATCCAGTCATATGAAAGTAAGCTAAACAAACTCAGGTTGCTTATTCCAGCAAAGTTAAACTGCAAAGAGAGTAAATAATAAATACATTGATAAGTGACACTGTTGCCACACATGAAAAAAAGTTGAGAAATACATAAATACATTTAATCTGAAAAACTGAAGGACGATTACTAGATCTGTGAATTGGTACCTTGATAGAAGTGGCAGGGGAAAAAAAGATATAATTAGCTTTCAAATTGAAGTTCAGTTCAAAATTAATTCAAAGACTCAAAAAGTTCCTTCCAGTTCTACGTTTCTGTATGTTAATAGATGTTTCTATATGGAATGAAAGCAAACACAAGACTAATCTAAGCAAAGATACTTCAGTTGGATTCTGTGTGGTACACATAAGGAAGCAGCAAGCACACAGAAAGATTGAAAAGTCCAAATGACTTTACAAGTCTGAAAGAGAAGCTACAAAGATGAACTTTGAGGAGTAGTGACAGCAGAATTTCAGTGTTCTCAGCAAAGTATTTTTAAGCACTTGTTGTGTCCCGTATTCAAAACAGATGGGGCCTTGCTCATATCTGAACGTAGATTCCACTTTGAAGTTTTTCTTTTCCACAAAATTACCAACTTATATCTGTAATTTTCCATCAAAAGCAAGCAAATTCCTTTTAAGAGGCCCAATTTTGGTAAGGCACACATGTCAAAAAGAATAAAAAGCTTGCCATTTCTTATAATTTCTTGCAGTTTTTTATGATCTCAAACAACAAGAGACAGGAGGAGGAATGTTATCTCTGGTTTTTATGGCCTCGGGTAGAGCTAAAGTGGAAAAGCATAAAAACTGGTGCCTCAGACTCTCTCTCTCTCCTTCCAGTCTATCTTTGTGAATAGTCACTATTAGTGCATATGCAGAATGACTGAATACAAAGATTCTTTGTCTCCCTAGTCAAGTCTACTCTCAGATTTCTTTTTATCATTACAGTATTACTATCCTTCTCGTCACACCAAAAAAAAAAAAAATCCATCTCTGAGACATAGTTGTACCTTAGTCTTTTCTCTTTTTCTTCTTATCACATTAAATAATTAAGTCTTACAGAATGCATCCCTCCTTTAGCTGCCATCCCTTCAATCAAACAAATTCCAGTTTCTGATAACTTCGTGGTAATCACAAATGCCTATTTACAAAATACTTAGTTTTGGGGTTGGTTTTTTGTTTTGGTTGTGGGGGAAGGTAAACTACTATCTCTCGCAGACGGAACTCTCCTGCAGATATAACTCTCTTCTGGGCCAAAACACAGATTTTTAATCATGGTTCCCTTGAGATGGTTTAAGAATTCTCTCAGGATCACTAGACTGAAACTACTATTGCTAAATGTAACATAAAGAGTCGTTGTTCCACTCAATGTGACATGTATAAACATGGAAATTAAATTTATGATTAGTTTTGGTCAATCTGGTCAATCTGCAAGCTTTCTCCTTTAGCAGACTTCCGCTCCAACTAATTACTATTTAGCAACAGCAGACTTTCATGACATATAACTACCAAGGACTATCCCTTACACGTAGCTGTAACATTTTATCAAGTTCTACATATGAACATTACACTAACTTGCAAATAACTGAAGGGAAGGCCTGCAGCCAGTGACCCAACCACAACAGCCATACACACTATGCGTGTACTAGATTGAAGTAACCAGAGCGAACAGCAATTGCTATATCTCTATAATATCATAACAGGAGAAGAAATACTTGGGAAGAAGCAGGTGTTGCCATTGCTTCAGACCACTATTTTAAGACAGCAGCACATTGCCTAAGGCGGTATTTCGGCAAACACTGCAAGTCGTCACCTCGTATATTCTCACGTGACTCATGCAGTTATCTCACAATTAAACCACTAATGTTGCATCTGATGAGTATGAAAAAGTACAGAATTCACAACCATTTAAAGGAACCATGTGTGCCAAAAAACCCAACTACATAAAACTCTGCTTGAACAAAAGGAGACAGAAGTAACCCTTCGGATGCCACCGCGATCACCAAAGAGCACAGCACCTGGACAGTGACGTGATCTGACGGAGGCTAACTCAGCACTGCCAACAGCTTGCTACTTTTATATCTATTATATCTATTATATATATCTATTTTTTTCAGTAAGTAACAATTGTGTCTTTGCCTCCATCTTCTGCACTTGCACTTGAGAGGAATAGTTCAGTGACCTCTATTGTAACAACTGCAAGATCCAGTTTACTGTGAAAACAGCTGGCTCAAAGAAACGATAGGCAGAAAAAACCACAACCTAGTACACAGAAGCTGGCACTTGAATTTGGTGTTGTGAAATACCTAAATTACACAGCTAGCTGACAGCATGTTTTTAGTTTTGGAGATTTAAGGGATGCACACATACACACACAAAAAAGGTTGGATATTGTTATCTGATGTTGCCTGCAAGTAGCCTGAGGTCAGAATAATCTTCCATCAGCTCCCATGTTATTATTGACCTCTGCTACAACTGCCACTGTCTATTATTCAGATAAACAAGGAAAAGAAAAACAGATGTGAAAGATAAAAGTAGCAAATGGATTAGAATAAAGTTAGCTTGCATGAACACATGATTAAGCTATGCAATTACATGTTTAATTTTCTAAACAGCACTGGAAACATTCTACCGATATCATGGATTACCTATAACAGAATATTACCACTATCATCTTTTGGCCATTCTTTTTCTGCTTGAAGATTTTGCTCCCCGTTTTCTATGTTGTGGTGTAATGTGTTTCATCCTTTAGAATGCTGTGATTTATTATTTTAAACAGTCTTAGAGTTATAGAATTATCAGGGTTGTAAGGGATCTTAAAGATCATCTAGTTCCAACCCCACTGCCACGGGCAAAGACATCCCCCACTCGACCAGGTTGTCCAGAGCCACATTCGGCCTGGCCTTAAAATCTTGCAGGGATGGGGCTTCCACCACCTCTCTGGGCAATCTGCTCCAGTCTTCATATTGGCAAGGATGGAAAAGGTCATAACACAACTCTAATTGGCAAGTTAAGCCTTATATAGAGGCCCTTATTTAGACAATGTTATTTAAGCCTAAGGTCAACCTTGAGAGATGATGACTTGGGAAGATCCCTGGCAAATAAAAATAGGTAAGTCTTTCTAACAAAAACAAATTTCTGTCATGAAATTAAAGTTATATGCTCAAAATGAATCCAGAATCTTCTATAACATCAA